TTAAATTGCATATCAAAATATTTGCTTGAAAAAAAGTTATGTTACCCTAGGATTACTTGTATGTAAACCGCTGAATAAGGAACGGCTTTTTATCATACGAGTATCATTTTTCTACAGATTTATATTTTTTCGACTAATATCTATTTAACGTAAAAAACTGCAAACCTGCACTATTAATTGAGTTGTCATGAAGTGTCAGTCACTCGCAGATCTTTTTGCATGTTATATTTCCTTCATAATTCTTTTTAGATCGCGTCTCTCCTTGAAGCCTCTTCCTGGCTCAGAAGATGCTCTGATGTCCAATTAAATTGTGGGTGTAGTCGAAATACCACAGGGTAATACAGCGTGCTGAGCTCTGTTTGTGTCACTAATTTACGACGAGGAAGATTGTTATTGCTCTCTCGCTTGGTTTTATGGGAGCAGGACAAGCGGTGGATTATGGTCGAAGCATCGTGCGTCAGGCTTGAGGTTTACCCACAAAATATATTGCTGGGACTACAAGCGCTCTTGCCGACTCAATAAGTTAGTCGAATGCTCGAATCAGCGATAAGTGTCAACCCTCTTGCCGATTCCCAAGAAACGGTCGTTACGATCGTTATCGAGCCAACTTTTTGGTTCTCTTCATTGCCGAGGCTCCCGAGTCCGTTCAAAGCTCAAATCGACTTTACAGGGAACTAATGAGATTATTTATGTTCTTTGAAAGTACTTCTTCTAGGGAGCATGCAAAGCACACATATGCTGTGCAGGATTTTATTTTTTATTCTCATGGTTTGAATTCTATCCGCAGTTCTTTATATTCTGAGTGTTTTGATAACAAATTTTGTGAAATAAAGCCACTCGCATCGAATCAGAGTAACCAGCAGTCTAGGTTGCAATTATCTGGCTGATAAGAAATTCCATTGGCTCATCAGCTGGCCTCTGCGCTTCAGAGCTCATGAACTCTTCCCCTTCTTCCCCTCGTATGTTGTCTTATCTTGGGGAGGCATTAAGGGGTCATTGAGCGGCCGGCTTCCTAAACGTTATCCAAGTTTTGCGGCAGCGACTTCAAAATCTGTGATGGTGAGGAGAAAAGAAATTTCTTAAGTTGTAACGAAAGTCAATTTTACTTGTTTAAGGTTCAATATTTTTAAGGAATTTGGGTTCTGAATCTACGTAAAAAATCAATAAAGAGAATGTCTGTCAGCAGTCGTTCATCCTTGCATGAATGGAAACCCAATTTGAAATTGGTAATTAAACTTTCATTTGAAATTCTTCTGACCGTGCTTGCAATTTCATCACCAGATCCACCGTGACATTTATAATGTTTTTAGAGTTCTTCGAGGATGGAATTGTTAAGTTAACGAGGAGAGACAGCACGTGTCGTGCTCGCCATCAAGACCTTCATATTACAGGCATCATAAGCTGTGATTCTTCCTGAGATTGTGCCGTGCATCTTATGTGCACCGCTCCGCCCAGCATTGTCTCGCTCAACCGCATTCCTGCCTTTTGCAGAAAAAATCCGCTTCCAAGGTTGCTTACTTGACTACTTTTGTTGTTCTAGACTTTACTTCGTAATGTGATCGCTTGCCTATAGTTGCATCGACTCTGAGTAAGTGCGTGCTGTTGTAGAACGATACGCACATACGACTTCTTTCCCTTTTCATCATCAGATTGTCTGCATAATTTTGTCGCCTGTTGTTTTCAGTTCTACAACAGTTGCTTGAAAAATAGTTTTTATTTGTATTTTGTGAGCTCGTGAATTTATGAGCAAGCCATTTGAAAAAGAAATTTAACTTCTATATAAATAGACTGATTAAGTGACTCAAGTCTCGTAATTCACGCTAATTCCTCTAACTCTAATACCAAAAAGAAAAAAAACTTCAGCAAATTTAAGACTTTTCGGAAGAGTTGTGTAAATAACGCGGTTGAGGAATGGCAATGAACGGCACCAGGCATCCAAATTAATGAGTGCGTTGGATGAAGGCGAAACGGAGTTTGTTCGCGCGTCTCGGTTTCTTCATGAAAACATTCGGGTTTTCGTGGCCTTCAAGAGCTTGAGGTTGTTGCCAAATGGGCTAATTAGAAGCCGTGAGTTTACGCAGCTCCTCAACATTTCCTGATGAAGTTTAATTACGCGAGTCGCGCGTCTTTGATGCCGAAGTACGCCACGCATGCCAGCTGAAATGCTAAAATGAACGCAGATATATTTTTCTCTATTTTTTTAAGGATTATTCCCAAGTCTCACTCTTGTAAATAAGAGTTAATAATAATGATGTTACTGAGAGGAATATAATGAAACCTGCTAATGCATTTTCACTATACTTATCAACATTTCTTAAACTATTTGCCATAGTACTACATCCTTCGCAACGAACATCGTAGTCCATTTAGCCCCCTACGGCACGCGTTAAAGAATTGTTAAAGAAGTTTAGTGTGCATCATATAGGATTAAAGGACGTAAAGTTACTGACTAGTCTTGCCGTGACTTCTGATTGTATGATTTCCTTTTGCCATCATTGATCCTCCGATATCGACAAACAATTAAAAAATATCTCATAGTGTTTATTCAGTCATATGGCTCATTTGATCTTATAAATATGTTAGTTGTCTATCTTCAATATTCAATATATATATATATATATATTGGTCTTATAATATTTTTTTTCCTTGTAACTAATTCATCTGTGTCGAGTTTTGCTCGATCATGATTTATTCAGTCATTTACAGTTTCTTCTCTTTCTCGTGTTCTTGTCGATGTTAAACGCTTTACCGCCTACCAAGTTTGCTTGTGTTTCTAAACCTCTTACATCGCCGAATCTTGTGCAGTTTATTTGATTTGATCTTCATGAATAATATGCCTGGAAAATTTTAAGAAGTCGGAGTTTTGACTATTGATTACTTGTAAGTAGGCAATTCGACTCACACATCTGGCATTATGAAATACGAAGCTAATCTGTGTAGATAGTTCGGCAGTATTCAGTCGTTGATTGTATGATGAATCAGTTACTAACCATCAGAACAAGAGACGATCGAGGCGTTGCTTCACTAACTCGCTGAAGCCCCGAGACGAGAGCTTCTGAAGCAGCTCTCGTCTCGCTGCTACGTGCTCTTGTCTCGCCCTAATGATGTCATCTTCCTTCTGATCATCTGATCAGTCCTGCGCATACCTTCTTTATAAAAACTCGCATCGTTTACCCGTAATTGCTCTCCATATCAGCAAATGTATTTGCAGCCGCTGGTGTGCGTGATTAAGTCGCCTTTCTGATTCGATTAAACGTGCTGTTTCCCCCAATTTGAAGACTTTAGAAGCAATATATTTAGTATGCTCTCTGATAATGGTTTGATTAGACTGCGTGTAACCACGTTATATCCTTTCCTCATTAAGCTAACTGTATTGTTAACAAGCTGCTATCACCTAACTGTCTTAATTCGACTCCGTATCCGCTTAAGGAGAAATATAAGCTTAGATTAGGTTTGATTGCTGACTACGCTGAAATTTCAGATCCGTGACGGTAACAAGAGCACACTTACAAACATGACTCCATGAAAGCCCCAAGCGAATCACGTAGCATTTGCTTCAAGCTTATTTTTTTAATGGAATATATGAACTTTCATTACAGAGGCGATTTGTGTACATAACTTGCAAATATAGGTCATAGGTCAAAGGGGCTTGCCTGGCGTGGTCCTTGTTTGCTCTGTGACTTGGTACGGCGGCTGCATTCGTTTGATGCTCTGCATGAGCCCTCGAAAGATCTGACGCGAGAGTCTAATGACTTCTTCACGCGACCCAACCTCAGCGAGACCGCTAACAATGAGCGACTTCTTCCCCTGTCCTCCTATGCAGCTCGACTAGATCGCCCTCGGATTGTCAAGCGCTGCCTTTGATGGCAGGCGCACTCAAAGTTTTCAGTTCGCATCAGCGCCTTTGTTGTTGCTGCTCCCTCCCTTCCCGGACGGCACCCCTCCCCTCCAACCTCCACCGAGATGCATCACATCTACACAACTGCAGTTCTCGCTGAGCATAAGGCCTGGAGGCGAACAATACTCCTCATGCCGACTGTACATGATCTTGTATAACTGTAGCTCATCTTGCCGACTGTACCTCCTCCTACCGACTGTACCTACTCGTGCCGACAGTATACCCGTATGCCGACTGTCTCTCTTTGTGCGGATTTCAACACCTTATGATGACTGCAAATTCTTTTTCCTACTTTTGCGATGTATGCCGAGTAACTTCTTATACCCATTGAACTCTTTATTCTGACTAATAACGCTTTATGCCAATGATAACCTCCAATGCATATCCGCAAAATTAGTCTACGTAATGAATATTTTCAGATGTCAGGCGACAAAGCTATACTGAAAAGTCTAAAACCCAATTAACTTTTAAAAGTCTACCCAATTATCTTTAATTAACAGTATTAATTACGTGCCTTATTTTATAGAGGGCTAAGGCTTGCTTGTAATAAATCATCGCAAGCAAGTCGTATATATGTACGACTTCCCCAAATCGTTCACACATCGTTCGTCGGGCGCTTGCCCGTAGCACTTTCACCAAGCGTTCATCAGCAGTTCCAGGAAGCAGCTCCCGTGCTGCCAGTTTGTTTGCAAATCTTCGTTTTTCTTGAGCTCAGTTCCAGCATTGGATGAGACTTGAGGTTCCATGTGCATGAAGCGTCGATAAGAAGTGCAAGTGTAACTTATTATCGCCATTTCTGGGTGACGGGTGGCACTCCAGCCTGTCAGTATATGGCGATAATTTAATTGTGGTGTCGCTGTACTGATAGTTTTTACGATAAAGACGCCGTTCTTGTCGATAACAGCGCAATGATGCATACAAATGTTGTTGTTCGCACCTCATTGAGAATCTCTTTCTGGTCCTTTTGTGAATGCAATGTTTATTTTTTAACATGAAACATTAGCATTAAATATTTTAAACTATACATTCGTTCAGCGCAAGAATTAGTTTTTTAAGGAAGTTGTGTGTGCACAACTGATTTTTTGTGCCTATCTTCTTGCAGGGTGACGAGGACGGATCGTTCTTATGGATGGTGAAGCAAGATCCACCGTCGTATTTTTTCGGCACAATTCACGTACCATACACACGTGTTTGGGAGCACGTGCCGTACAACACCAAGAAAGCCTTCGAGATGAGCGACAACGTCATGTTCGAGCTCGCCCTCACCGACCCTGCCACCATCACCGCCCTCACCACCTGCCAGCTGCTGCCCCAGGTCACACCTAACTACCGAATTTAAATCTTGTTCATTTAATTTGAGTGCTCGTTTGGTCTCTCGCTGAAAACGGCTGCAACTTTTCGGATACTCTTGACTTCTTAAATAGGTACATAAATTACTTCATTTTCCGAGAGAGTGTTTCTGCCTCGGGTAAGTTTATTTACCGCTGTTCTGGGAGTAAAGTTACGAGTGCACAGCCTGTTATACTGAGCTGCATTCCTCATGAATTGCTGCTGTGGTAATTCATTTCCAGTGTGGAGTGAATTATCTGCTGTGACTATTTAATGCCAATCAACGTTGCTTAAGATAAACGTGATTATATGCCAGCCGTTTAAATACATCATTCTATGTAAGACTAGAGACCGACTACTGAGAAACTCAAGCTATAGATTCCTTAGAAGTTGATTGTGCGCAGTCAGAAGTGCTAGTCCTCCAACTCCCCTCCAAACTCACACAAGTGAGCCTCTAACTTCCACTTCTGGTGTTTGTCTTCCATATTATATCTGCCGTGGCTCTCCTTCGCTTCTGCCCTTGTACACGGCACAGGGTATTGCCTTTTTATACGTACTGTGAGTTACACGTAGAATAACATACAGCAATATGCTCTTAGTAAAACTTAGACAACATTTAGTTATAAAACTTCGTTCTCATTTGATACGTTATCGTAGATTTTATCACAAATAACGTAATTTACGAAGCATCAAAACATCACTAAGCGTCAACCGGACCTGCCTTCAAATTTAAAGTTGTGCGGTCGTGAACGTTGTGATATTTTTTCTGTTTATCTTCCGTTAGTGGTGCTTGCATCAAATCTCCTCTGCGCTTTACCAGTTGAAATTCTAGTATTGAGGCGCGGCTGAGACTTGTCCAGCTTGTTGCTCTCTGTAGACGCGGTACCTTGACTTCGCTCTGTCACAATCACCGACGACACATCGACTGATTACATTATCCTTCTGGGGGAGGTGGGGGAGCTCCCTGCAGCTCGGTGGCTAGGAGGGAGATGAGGGAGCTCCTTGCAGCTCGGTGGCTAAGGGGGAGATGAGGGAGCTCCTTGCAGCTCGGTGGCTAAGGGGGAGATGAGGGAGCTCCTTGCAGCTCGGTGGATAAGGGGGAGATGAGGGAGCTCCCTGCAGCTCGGTGGATAAGGGGGAGATGAGGGAGCTCCCTGCAGCTCGGTGGATAAGGGGGAGATGAGGGAGCTCCGTGCAGCTCGGAGGATAAGGGGGAGATCAGGCAGCTCCCTGCAGCTCGATGGCAAGGAGGAAGGTATGGCAGCTCCCTGCAGCTCGATGGCAAGGAGGAAGGTATGGCAGCTCCCTGCAGCTCGATGGCTAGGAGGGAGGTATGGCAGCTCCCTGCAGCTCGGTGGCCGGTGGAGTAGGAGGAAGCGTAGACGGCTGTAGGTTGTGATGGATTTCATTCATAGGACGCCGGCTGTTCGAAAGTTCTGGCAGATGAGAGTTGGCGGACGGTTGCCGTTGTTTTTTCAGAACACGAATACCGTTATGAGATAGAACATCTAAAAATTTTAACCGCAGTTTAGATTAAACAGAACGGAAATAATGAAAACTATCATTCAATTACTGCGAAAAAGAAAACGGGGATTTATTGAAGAGATAATAAGATCTTTGAAGAGGTCGGCATAAAGATGCTTGAGTGCAAAGAAAAAATTACAGTGCGGTGAAACAAGTGATTGCTGAAGCGACTGACGAAAGGCTAAAGCAGTGGTTCCAAAAGTGGGCGATATCGCCCCCCCTGGGTGCGGTGGGAAGATCTGGGGGGGGCAGTGAGGAAGAAAGAGGCAGTAGGGGGGGCGGCAGTCCGCGAAGTCGAAGTCAGAAGTTCGTACGTTTGTTTGACGATTTGTACACAACACGTGCAGAACATAACTCCGACTCTAATAAATTTTCACGAGCTATAAATCTCAGTTTGGTAGTTAGGAATTTATATTTAAAATTTCGTTCGAATCTGTTCAGTAGATTGGAAGAAATTCTTTGTTAACTGCGAATTTCGGCCTGTATCGCCATACAACTCCCGAATGAAGGTGAAATTTAAAATTTTTTCATGAGCAAAACATCACCGTTAGGCCCTAATGAATACGTGTTCCAAGTTTTATCGAGCTGCGTTCATTAGTTTGGGAGATATTCCTTGATCACTGAATTTGGAGATTGGCCGTGAGACCGGCCACGAGTCCGGCCATCAATTTGTCCGAGCCGTCTTGAATTTCTAGTGCTTAATACCTATTTGCTTAATATTAAACTTCAGAATCTACCTCAAGCTCGAACCGCATCCTTTACGAGTTACGGTGATATGAGCGATTTATTTTAATTAATCTATCTTGTTTGATTAGCTTAAGCAGTTTGTATGGTATAAAACAAGCTCAGCATATTATGCTTCATGAAAATGTGGCTAAATGTTTTGCGTTCAGCTAGGGAGTTGCATTTAAGGAGTTGTCTGATCTTCATAATAATTGCTATGATTTTTCTATAAAACCAAATAAAATGAAGATCCAAGTTACGATTTTGTTGTTCACTTGTGATCGAATAACCCTTCTTCAGGATAAAATAACACTATATCCCTGTTGTGTGTGAACTATTCAACTTTAATTTAGGAGCTGACGACTAAACTTAAACTTCGTTTGGCGGGACTCGATATAGCGGCTTGAGGCTGCGCAGTGCGCATGTCGCGTGCTGCTGTCGTCGGCCTAGCGTACAGATCGCCTCTCGCAGCGGTAATGTCCTGATAAGATAGCGGCACTCCTATGTGATTCCGAATAAACATTTAGTGCCTCATTATTACGTAGACGTTACCGTTCTTAGTAATTTAATTTTTTATTGTGCACACAGATTGGGTTAATTGAGTCGGTCTTGAAGACGTAACCATTTCATTTTGCATTTATGATCACACTAGTTGGATTTATAATGAAAATTTCTGACTATATTTTATTGTCATCGTGAATAGCTTGATAACGTATCGATGCCAAGCAAAGATTCACATCACGGTTGTCTTAATGGAGTCCACAAGTTTGTGTGATCACCTAATATAGTTTGTTGGACTCTGCCGTCGTATAGTACACGACATCGTATAATAGTGCACGGCAAATATTCTTCTGTGTGATGATGTTGGTTACGAAATTAAATTCAACAGCTAGTGAGCGTCTGACCGTTGGCAGGACATACTTATAAGAAACTGGTATTCTTCAAACAATCTTTATATAACTTCGAACCATCTTTTTTATAACTGTTGTTTCACTGTCTCGCGGATTGTTAGATTGAACATATTTTTATTAAACGTTTCCGTTTCACAGCAACTGCAGTGTTGTACACGTGTCACTGCTGTGTGTGCACTTCATTAAAACGCTACGTATTTATACGCTATACAAGAGTCATGCATATAAAGGCTGTGCCGCTGTGCACTTGACATGTGTATGCATGCCGTAAAAATAAAGGCACAGAACTCAGTATGTCAACTGAAGTGCGTCGAGCGCATCAAGACGCCAAAGCTGAGGACTGTGCCAACTTTCTGGTTCGGCATCAATTCACTGCCATTGGTGTTGTCTGAGAGACAAGTAAAATATTTATCTGTCCGCGAATATATGTTTCATGTTGTGTTAGGTTTTCAACTTTTAGGTTGAATAAATTTTGTTCTTATCGATCGTAGGTGCATTGAATTTCATTTTTTCTTCTCGAAGTGAGCGCATATCATTCAATAAACAAGTAAATTCTGCGTCTAAATTTCGCACAATGTTGAGTGAAAATGTTACGTTATTTATATGTCACGTTTCACTCGTACGTCTTTCTCCTGCACTGCGCACTCCACCAAACACTGCACTGCCAAAATTTGGTCTACTCCTTACATAATCTTTATACACCATCGTGTGACAGCTGTGCAGTCTATAGAAATCGTGACAAGTATTTATAGGCCTGGGAGCGGACTCAGTGATGATCGTATTGTAGTCTTATTGAGTCATGATCGTGAAGGCACTCGCCACTTGATAAATCGGCCGTCTCTTCCCTTTTGTTCGTTTTCAATGGCCTGACTCATTCCGACGAGGGGAGATGCCCGAGGATCGCTCCCTGCGTGCGGTAAACAGCTCTGTTTGTGCTATAAATCTACGCGCTGACTGGTATGACGGTGCTATATAGTGCGCTGCTCATGATGCTATAAATCTACGCGCTGACTGGTATGACGGTGCTATATAGTGCTCTGCTCATGATGCTGTATAGTGCGCTGCTCATGATGCTGTATAGTGCTCTGCTCATGATGCTGTATAGTGCATAAATGAGAAATTCGTTGTACATTTGTGAGATTGGAGACACTGGATTCTTTGGAAGTGTTGTCTTTAAAAATTAATTTTTAAACGCATATTATTCTGGTGTAGTTTGGCAATGCGAGAAGCAAGGATAATTGTATATTAGCTGTCTATCAGGACGTTAGAAAATAATACTGAGGAGCGAGAATGATGGCTCACAAGCAGTTATAGGTCATCGCATACGGCTTGCACTACAGCAAATTATTCTTTTATTCAGAAATTCACTATTCTTATTCTTATTCACTATTCAGCAAATTATTACTCTTTTTTTCTGACTTTGAGTGTTGAGATAGTTTCATTCACGAATATTTGGTTTTATCTTTCACTTAATTAAATCAAATTCTCAAATCTTCGACAACCACGAGCTCTATTGTGTCTATTGATTAGGACGCTGTGTTCTTTTAATTGATGCTCTCTGTTATTATTGATGATTAATATAGTATTGATGATCAACCACTCTATTATTACTTCATAGCTAATTTCAAGTGCATTTCATGGGTAATTATAAACTTCTTGCTCACATGAGTATTTTTGAATAGCACAAGCAGGAGGAAAGAATTCCTTTCGGGCTTGTGTTGTGCTTTATTCAATTTCTATTATTTGATGGTTGCAACCTCGGTGCTTGCTCGGCATGCATGGGGTTCTAATTAAGAACCATGTCATGATGGTTCTAAGGACCATGTCATGATGGTTTTAAGCTGAAAGTCAATCAAGAGGAGAAAACCAGAAGCTCCGCGGGAATCGATGATATAATATAGAATTTTCCTGAACTTTGTAGAGAAATAACAGTACCTGAAATGTTACTTCTAGAAGTCTTTGGTATCACTCTCCGCCACTGTTATCTCTATTATCATTATTTTAAGCTGTTACTTTTGTTGGTTGCGCTTCAGTTGATGCTTTTCTGTTGAGGGGTTTCACGCCTTGTAGCCACTTGCTGCTGTTGCTGCTACTTACATTGACACGCTTTATTTGGTCTCTGTCTAGTACTATCAAAACCTCCGTTAAATATGCTGTTGTTGCTGCCGTTATAGGCACCGCTGCTTCAGCTTCTGCTGCTCGCACTCGTAGGCCTAAGCGATCCAGCGCCGCGCGCCGTCCCGCCCTGTGACCGGGGAGACCGGGGCGCTGCGGGTCGCCCGCTCTGCCGTGCCGTCCGACCTGCCCGCCTGAGATGTGGAGTGACCGATGCTCATTTATACTGGGGTGTGGGTGGCGGGAGTGGCAGCGTGAGTGGCGGCGTGAGTGGCGGCGTGAGTGGCGGCGGGAGTGGATGAGTTGAGGAGGTAAAATGAATTGAGTGGTGGTAGTGGGTGGCGTGAGTGAAGGAGTTGAGTCACTCACAGTTGAGTAATGAAGCGATAAGTGTTAATTAAATGTTAAATATTATGCGAGATTACTTTGGATTTGTACCAGTGGTTAAATTAGCTTATGTTTTTTACACACTGTGAATGTGTTCGATATAGTTATAGATTTTCCTTATAGCTTTGTTGTGCTGTTGAAGGAGATCTGATATCATAACTTTGCTATATTCGTCTAGGTTTGACGGGATATTGTAAGAAAATTCAGCTGCTATTTAGTGCAATGCGAGGTACGTGATTTTATTCTCGAGTTAGAACATTGCCCTCCAAAATGTTGCCAAGGCATTGTATCTTCACTGACAAGGAGGCTGACTTCTGGCAAGCAACTGCTGGTGTTCTTCGCAAAGCTCATGCAATAAAATAACTCACAGAGCTTTCATTTAATGACGATGCAGCAAGAGAAGAATAGCAGTACAGAGACGGTATATCCTCATGACAGAATCTGGGAAGACAGAATATCGCTAGACAAAAACATGTCAAAAAATTAGATCAGTACTCACTGCAGTGAGTGACAGAGAGCGCATTTTCTCGTCCGTCCGACCGTGAAGTCACGGACGGACGGACACGACGAGCATAATAGCGCCTTTTTTCCATAAATGAGAAAATGCGCTAAAAATTAAGCTATATGCCAGGGTAGTGTGCCGGTATTATCTCAAATTATTTCAAGCCGAATTACCTGATAGAACTGATTTTAAGCAAAATAGTATGATACTAATTATTTTTTCAATCGAAATTGTTGAATTAAGGAGTTGAAGTTTAGGTGTATAAGATAAGTATTTACACGTATAGCTACTCAAACAAAATAAGGATAGGTAATGAAGTAGATAAGTTACCTTTTTGAGAAAAAGTTGAAGCTGCAGGAAGTGCTGATTAGAGTAAGGTTCGCCAATGGTTGCGATATTAAGAATACAAAATGAAGTTTTGCGATTATCAAAATTTCTCATGTCTCTGAAGTACATCATCTAGAAACCTCGATAAGTCGAAAATCAGCCTTTGCAACGTCACCAGCAGAGCCTTGGGTTGACATGACGAGCAAAATGTGCCGCTACGGCGCTTCAATTGTCTTCAGTTGACAACATTTATAAGTTAATTCTTCTACTTTAGACAAAATTGGGTGACTATTGCACCGATCATGTATTAAACACGGCAAATGAAGCTCAAAACGATGCACCAAAAAAGTTGCATAAAATATTCAAATGAATATAAGAGTCGCATTTATTTAATATCTCATCATTATATCCCATTAGTGCCCACTCATCCCCTTGTTGCCCACCTTCAGTGCCCACACTTCCCCTTAGTGCCCACGCTTCCCCTCAGTGCCCACACTTCCCCTCAGGGCCAACACTTCCCCTCAGTGCCAACACTTCCTCTCAGAGCCCACACTTCCCCTCAGTGAACACACACATCCCTTCACTGCCCACCTTCAGTGCACTTGTATGATTGTATCCCATCTCTTAGCCTCATAATCCCTCATCCTCCCCCACCTCCTCACTCGCGTAACCCCCCACCCTCATCTCCCCTCATCACTATCAGCACCACGATGCCAGATGCGCGATAAGACACGACCTGTCAAGACGCCTGCGTCTTGCCGTCTCGCCCAATTCACACTTCGCTTCTTCCTGCCTTCTTTCTTGCCCAGTTACTCTGCCATCATTTGCAGAAAACCTCTTCATAATATATTATTTATCTATTTTAAAGCCGTTCAATATACAGTCATTATTAATTTTCAAGTAATTTATGTACCTTCTGATTCTATTAAGCTTTTTAGATTTTAATTTAATTAAAAATCATTTGTCTATTAACGGTGGTTAAAGTCATGGTCCCTCCATAGCTGAGATTTGTCTGAATAATTGTTTATGATGTAAGAACAAGTTTATGAAGCAAATGAAACACTTGAGTCAACACAGGCTTGGAGTATCAAACGTTATCTGTTGTTTTTGCTCGCTATTTTTAACGCCCGTAAGTTAAGCAAGCCTAGTAAAGTGAGTAATTTTAACCGTTATATAATAAATCAGAAGAAGAATAATACAAAACTTGAGTGGCTTTTTCTTGTATTGTGCAGGGAATGTATGTATATAAGGTGAAGGCTTGTGCTTGCTTCCGTGACTGACTAGTTAGGGTCCGTTACTGATTAGTTATTAGTTCAGTAACTGATGTTACTAGTCAATGTAACTCAACTGAACGTACGTAACACCAATATTCATTTATTCTGTTGGTTACGAATTCTGTTGTGGAAGATGCATGAACGAAAAAAATTCTACAAACTCTAAGAAGGTTGTTGGAAAATACTGTTGCTAAATGACGTTCGACTGATCGCAATTCCCTAGTTTCATTCCAAAATTTCCTTTTGTTTGAATGTTATTTTTGTACAGAAACCAGCTAAAGGACGATGCCGCTGCAACCGAACCAGCTCAATGATCTAATGACGATTGATTATACACTAAATTCCTACAGACCTACTCCTTAGTCGGTAATTAAAAATTGTTTGATGGGGTTAGCCACTAATCAAATGCCCTGCGATAACGTATCGTTCTTTTGTACAGGGCAAATCTCTAGCAGACGTGCTGCCCGGCGAGCTGTACGCGCGGCTCAGGAGCCACCTGAGTTACATCAGGTCTCAGATGCCGCACTGGCTCACGCCCCCCGACAACACATCGCGATGGGCCTATGCCAACTACCTCTTTGATGCCATCACAGGTGAGTTCTGCTTGCTGGGTGCTGATAACGTACCTGGAGTTGTATGGGTTATGTGGAACTCTAAAAACACATATTTAATAACATCACTGCTGGGTGCTGCATGTCGTAGTAGAATCGATAAATGGCACAGACGTTGCCAACTATCTTCTACTGTTATAAATTATTTGTTTTGTAAATAGGCATAAATTATTTTTTATAGCTAAAACTAGAACGACGAGAAGCGGTGCTTTCAACGTGGTATGGCCGTTGGCTAAGCCTAGAACCGTACTTCATTCCTGGTATAACACAAATGTATAAATATCATGAATGTAATATGTGACAGCGGTTCAGTTCTCTCTGTTTTAAACGCTATGGACTTTTTAAAGATTTATTAGTTCATGTTGTCTATAGTTTTTTTTACGTATGCACGGTACAGTGAATCTCAGCTTGAATTATGGAGTAATAATTCTTGGATCGACAAAAATCAGAAAGCAGGGAGCTCAACGCCGACATTGCAATGATCTGGAAGGGATTTGTGTCGAAATTTCATAGGTTCTTTTCTTTCTATTTTTTGATTGGACACGTTCATAAATGCAATCAAATGATCGATCAACGTAAAGCAATCGCGCTTTGTTCTGGATCGCGCTTCATGCTTGTGTGCGCTTCATGCTGGATCGCGCTCTATGCTGGATCGCGCTCTATGCTGGAACTCGCTTCATGCTGGATCGTGCTTCATGCTTGATCGCGCTTCATGCTTGATCGCGCTTCTTGCTTGATCGCGTATTCCGGTACCTGCATGATCACGCTCTATGCTGGAACTCGCTTCATGCTGGATCGTGCTTCATGCTTGATCAAGCTTCATGATTGATCGCGTTTCATGCTTGATCTCGCTTCATATTGGATCGCGCTCCGTGCTTGATTGCGCTTCGTGCTTGATCGCGCTTCGTGCTTGATCGCGCTTCGTGCTTGATCGCACTTCGTGCTTGATCGCGCTTCGTGCTTGATCGCGCTTCGTGCTTGATCGCGCTTCGTGCTTGATC